ACTTTTTCTTCATGATTCGGTTTCGCCTCACAGTGGTAGCTCAACGCATTCTTAGAATGATGCATTACCGTAATTCTTCAAGGTCTTTATCCTAGAGTTACACATCAGGATGTAATTGAATTTCAACAATAAATCACCTTTCTCATAGTTTTCAAAGGGCAACAATTCCTAACAAGCTTTTAGCAACCAAACCATCAGCCTCAAATTTCCCGAGCCATTAATCGTCGAATTTTACGTAGATAGTATTAAAACTTTAAAAGTTTTGCAACTTTGGTATAAGACAAGTTTCGTTAAAGCTTCATATTTTGTTGTCTACCATGGAACACACTGAATTATAAGTATCATCTTCGATACTGATACAACATCCAATGTTGCTCCAGTTATTGCTCTTAATAGTCTGTTATTATAAACAATAATTGATCTTTATGATTTACTGGAACAGAAATAATTGCTCCGAAGAATCTTTATGCAAATTTCTTTATCTTTTGTGTAACTTTTTGTAACAGAATAATAACCTATAAAATAATAAGCTTAATAATTAACTTGTTAACCTAATTTTATTGTAATTCCACGTCTAAATAAAATCATTATAGCACTCTCCTTTCAACGTCAAATACATACATGATTAAAAAAATCAATGCCCCTACGTCAGCTGCGATCACAATCCCGTCAAACTTTCGTCAATTTAAAAAGCCAAACGAGTGAAACCAGTCTATAAAGAATATTCTTGTTCTCGCCCCGGAGGCGGTGATTCGAAGAGGCATTTTTACTGCGTGTCGACCATCTGGTCACAATGGCGCTTATTAAACGTCCAATGGACAATTAAAATAACACCTCCCATTCAAACCGTCCTTTTCAAGGCTTCCGATCGTTTTTTGTTCGCAGCCGCTTTGCCATTGTTTGGTCGGGAATTGCACGGCCAACTATTGTCGCGACCACTGTTTCATTGTGGGTCTAATTGAGTCGGCTTGAATTTGGGTTAGGAGATCACGAATTGTCTTCTCAAAGTCGACTTTTCCTGTTGTTTAAACTACGCAATTGTAACGGGGCAAATAAGAAATTGGATAAAATAAAAAGTGTAAAATAAAAAGTGTTCGAGAAAATGAAAAAATAAGTGATTTTTTTCCCAATTTCCATAAAGTTAACAATATCCTGAGCGAACAAAGTGGCTGAACTAAAATTCTCTTCAAAGATTAACAAGAAATTGCGCACGAAATTTCGTTTCCTATTAACCGTCCACTCAGTCCTATAATTACCAGGGAATATCCGAAGTCTGCTACTCTTCTACCTTAATATTAAAGGGGCTTTCATGGTTGAAATGGCCCCGGTGATTATATTGAGGAAAATGTTCAACATCGTTCATTAATATCGCCCTTATTTTGATGGTAATAACACAACCATTTTATGAAACTCATTTTTTTGTCAGCTATTCCAGCTGAATGAAATTAATAAAGATGCAAATGGCATTCGCTTGATATATTATCGTTACCCATCAATCCACTCAATCATACCAATCCGAAAATTAATCTCCCACAACGAGTCTCGTGAAAAGAAAACGATCGGAAAAAGCAGACTGTAATTCTGGGAATTATGGCAGTCCTCTCAAAAGAAATGATGAAACGGACGGGCAGGTTTATGCAGAGAAAGAGAACCGTGACTGATTTTTGTATTTATTACCTCTCGAAATGAAATTAAAAAAAAACTATATTCAATACGACTTCTGCGGTGGCGCGGATCCGATTAATCATAAACGTTGTAATAACTAACCGACGCTAAACGATTTTCTTTTTTGTCTTGTTCGGAACTCTTGGTTTCATTGACCTTCGCACAAGATTTGGCGATCAGATATGTTCAGATTCGCGCGTTTCCTTTCATTCATGAATAATGTATTAGATTTTATGTCTCGATTCTGTAACAATCAATCTTACAGATTATCAACATCAAATTAACATGTTAATTTATTAAAATGTTCACTTTGATGTCTTATTCAATTACTAATTGTAAATCATTCAAATATAAGCATATGTATTTCTTTTTTATTGAATTTCCTTTTCTATCTTTATAATTTTGACGGTCACAAAGTTTCTTAATTGTATTAAATTTTTGATAACATCTTTATTGACAAGCTTCAAAACGTTACTGTAACATGGATGTAACTTTTGTTATGTTAGTCTGAATACCTTTCTTCTTGAGTAATCATTGGTGCATGTATAGATGAGATACTTCCATCAGTAATACATTTTGCATTCCAGAAAGGTTTGGTATATCATCCTACCTTTATGTAGAGTATTAATTTTAAGCATTCTCACCCATAGAATCGTACTTCATATAGTATATAGTTTAAATGCATCTGCACCATACAGGCATGCTAGCCTTTGTACTATATTAAGTAGCAGTGGGTGAAAGACTGAAATTTTAGACAAGCAATCTACCGTACCATAAGTGAGTATAGATGGAATTAGGGCTGTCAAAATTGAGAGAGCTAGTTGTGGTGATAAATACCATGTATTACTTCAATAGATGTGACTTCCAATTTATGTTTATTATCCAACCTAATGCCCAGATGATTCACTTTTTGGCAAATATTAGGTCCTGTTTTCGGAAATTTTCAATTTCGTTTTAGTTTCTGAAATATCTCAGGATCGTTTTCAAAAAATCACTCTGTATACTCTCTCTAGACTTTCTTTTGAAAATGAGCAGAAGCTAATTAGTCTATAAGACTTCAGGAGGAAGTAATTTTGCTTTAGTAGTGTATGTATGAAGTTCATCATAACGTCACGACGCGCCATATAACTATATCAAAATCATCTGCAGTGGGTGCTAGGTTGGCATCCCATTTGATATCGACGGAGAATCCTCATCATGAAGGTTTTCAATTTAAGACTCATCAACCATCGTTAGTAAGCCAATATAACGGTCCAGGTTTGACTTCAGAAATCTTTTCAGACAAGAGAGCTTACTACTGGAGGTCGAACAAACTTTTTAAACTTCACCAGTTGCTTTTTATAAATATGCTAGTCGATGTCCAAAGTTTTTAGCTCTATAGAAGGCTATTACCACCAAATGATGACGCAACCAAAATTGACCTCCAGTCGGAGGACGCAAGCCTTTTTAAAAGAATTAATTAAAGAGTCACTAACCGCTTTCGAGTACTCTTCAACTTCTCAAAGTTCCAATGGTATTTGTAACCTAATTACATTTAATCTTAAAGATAGGTATGATCTATATTTCCACCTGTGGTCGCGTTTGTGGTCTGACATTAAATCCTCGTAACATGTACTTTAGCTTAGAATTACTATTAAACCAGTATAATACACTATTTATTTAAGTACAAATAAGAAGAAAATCAGTTGACTTAGATAAATTAAACAAGAGCACGTTTTTAGGTAAAATTAAATTCAAAATCGTAATTGAAGATGATAAATATTATTGTTATAGCTCACAGTAATGTTTGTGACAGAAATGTATAAAAAATTAATGAATTTTATTTAAAAAAATTGCATTATTATTATCATTACACATCCTCTCATTTTACATAATTTTTTATGCTTCGTAATATAAAGGATGTATAATGTTTTAATGCAGCATTACAATTTTAACGCAGCCATGGGTAAAACAAGAGCATTAATAAATCTTATTGTTGCGATATCTTTAATATTGTATCTAAACTACACATTTGTAAGTACAACTAATAAAACTACAACACTAAAATATTTATAATTAAATATGGTTATATAGGCTGGATATGTAACAAAGTTCGTTACGAATAGAGTTATCGTTAAGTTCGTCAATAAATCACACCTGACATACTACGTAGTCAAAAATCAGTATTATAATAAAACACATAAAGTGGCACGAACTAGTTTTTGTCTTAAAAAGCCAGTTAAACAAGATGCAAAGGTATTTAACTTAATATAAATAGTTAATTATTAATTAAAAATTTTATGTTTTTGTTAAAGACGAACGTTGTAGTTTATCTGGTAAGATATAACGTACCAGTTTACATAGGAATCGAAATAGATCTAAATTTTTGTAAAACCACAAATAGCAACGCTTTTGGTATGGGGAATATAATGCGAAGTATAAATGTAACTAAATGCCCCATACCTGCCGTAAGTTAAAAAAAATTGAAACAACATAAAATTGAATACAAATTTTAGGGGTGTTATCATGGCGACATTGATTATGATAGTATTGCGTTACCAACCGGATTTCTTTCCGGAAGTTACATGATTAAAACCACAACTTATTTTATAGACAATGCAAAATCGTTTGTTACGGAACTTTGGTTTGATTTAGTTCCTTCATACGATTGATTTTTTGTATTTTATTATTATTATTGATTGTCAACTAGAAAATAAAGCTGTTAAGACTTTTATTAATTAACACAACTCTAAACTATTACTCACTTAATCAGCTCACATTCTCTCTAATTACGTAAATAGAAAAGTCTAAAATTATCATCGAGAACTCTTTCAGATAGAATTATAGGTAAAAGGCCGCTTTGGTCTACATTTGCAACTTGTCCGGAACTTGTTTTAGTTTTGTTAAAAGTGAAAATGCCGTTTCTTGTTGTTTAGCCCACAAGAAAATCTGTAAGATGCAAATGAAGAAAGTTAACGGATCTCTTAGCAATAATTGCATTGATTTATCTTAAAATTAATATCAAGTATTCAATTCACGGCAAGCAAGTGTAAAATACAAGAACTCGATAACTATTAGGTTAGGCATGTTTTTTGACACCTCTCAATTTCTCAGCAAACGCTTGATGCGGGCGCCAGTTTAATCATTGAGAAGAACCAAAATGAAGAAGAGGTATTTGAGAACAACCAAATAAGACACGTCCTTCTCGAAAGCTGGCCGATTCCTCTTCGAGTATAAGCTTCCGCTGCTGCTGGTAGGGTTCTCATGCTCTTCTTCTCGGTGTTCTTCTTCTCGTCGCGGACGACCACGAGGTGGCGAGGCCGGCTTATATCTGGAAGAGGTGCCCAATGTAGGCCAGTCGGTGTGCACCGGTCGCAGGCTGAACACCTTTAAACGAAAGATCTCGTCGCGCCACCGTATAGAGACCTCGTCGACGAAGATATACTTTGGATATTTTCCAGGCTGTGATGATCATGGACCGAGCCATCATCTTGTGTACTATCGTGATAGCCCTCGTTTCCTTAAAAATGCCAAGTAAGTTTTTAATAAATTTCTAAGAATTTGTTATTTTTGTCAATTAATGTTTTCCAGTTTCTGTTTGAGTCACGGGATATAATTGTTTACTCGTTATGCAACAAGATTCATTAATCGTTTTATCTATAATCATTTTTATTTTTAAAATCTGATAACTTCCGGGTATGCACATGCAACATAAATTGATTTTCCCGATAATAGATGTTATTGCCGAGATTTATTAACAAAAGTTACCCGTCACAAAAACGTAGATGCATCGCATCCCGCGCGAAATTAATACTTAATGACCCTAGACGTGTTGGTATTGTCTTTTTTTCATAGGCAATCAACCGGCAAACCTAATTACCAACGCGATTGCCGCTTAATTATCTGTCTCTTAACGACGTTCAGAAAGAACGGATGAGTCAAAAAATAACTATGGCCAGACAGAAAGCATAAAACTAATTGCCTATCTCTACAGGAAGAGATACTGGACTGGTACTTTACGGCGCGGCTTTCTGCTCGCCTTAACTATTAGCCGTTGTTACCAGACCATGTTGATAATGTATGATTATTACCAGTTATTAGTAATCTAGTTGCTCGAATGGGACGCAAAGGTTACTGCTCAAGATACATCTTGGAACATATCGCAGCGAAGAAATGTGCAGGATGTTTTATGGCCACCAATTAGATTTTAATCGTTTTCGCTAGCTTAGGATGGGTAATAAAACATCCAACATGACTCCTAGCTGCTTCGTTTTATGTAAACACCTGTAGAAAAATTCTACAGCGAAAAGATAAATTTATATTGGTAACTAGAAAACAATTTTTTTAACAAAATTGTAGAAACGCCTAAAGACAACTAACGTGAGAACAAAGTGATTCATTAATGTCAGTAGAATCTCGATGTGTAAAATATCCCCATTGCCATTTCCGTCTCCTCCGTGTGCCGACACACCGCAATTAAACGTAATCTCCTTCGGTCTGGCAAATAAACCACTCGAAGCGGGGCGGCACAATGCGGCCGCGAATAGGTACTACCTATCGTATGCGATACAAGGAGCTTTAATTTATGCTAAAAGCTCCGCAGCCGCTCCGGTAATATGTAGATGAATGACAAGGGGTGGCGGTTTTTAGCAAAACTTTTTTCAATTTTCGTTCAGCTAATTGGTTATTACGAGAGCTGGTAAGTGAATAAATTACTCAGTACCAATTGTAAATCTTCGGGACTTTCGTCCGGCGCGACACGCGAGGCTGAAGAGCTCGGCTATTATTCTGATTTATCGCCTGGACGATCGTTCTGGATTTACGTTCGACGCCCTTCGGATACAATGTGGTCAGATGTACACCTCGACAAATACAATCGTAAAATATAAAGGCGTGTAGATACGCAAATTCAATTTAAACAACTCTAAATGGGCGGTTATTGAATAACAAATCGACGAGAATAACACAATAATTTTAAAATGATATTTAAAACTTTATGATGATAAAAAAAATGGTTTTAATTCAATGGTAAAGCGATTCTGAAATACCAAGAATTTGAACAATACTTCGCGTTTTGGTCATTGCATTACAACAATAACTCAGTTCAGGTACCGAGTTGGAAAGAAATATAAAAAAGTAATAATAAAAACGGTCACCGAAGTACCCATCCAGCTTATTTAACAAAAAATTAGATCTCGCTGAAAGATTGGCGGAGATGCCGAGCTTAAATTTGTAAATTCGCTATAGACAAGGTTTTTGCCTGTGAGTGCGCAATAAACGTGAGAAAATCTTCGTTATTCACTACATTAACTGTTATTAATTAATTGTATGAATGTAATAATGCGGGCAATTAACTACTAATTGAAACTATTCGCTAATCCGTACTTTCTTCGAGACGAAGAAACACTATCTACGATAATTAATCAAACAGGGTCAAGTTAGAGGTTAAACGTTCGGTTCCATTACGTACTTCCCAGTCTTTCAGCGTTAATTTACAATCAGAGGTCAACAACACCATCGCTCAAGACTTCTTGTAATCTAATTCAATTTGCTCATTTCTGTACAATTCCATTGATTAGTTCCACTCGTCTGATTTTTTTTTGTCGAACGAATTAAAATCACTCCACTTCCAGAACTCATACTAATCAATTACAAGATTGTTAAATTTACCGCAAATAGACGATAAACACTTTTTTAGGCGTCAATTTTAATGTTAAGTGTGTTAACGGCAGAAACCTTAATTATCAAATTAACATAAAGAGGAAACGAATTTCTGGAGAACCTTCGTTTAGAGAAATCAAAGTGTCACACGACGATGCACGTAGTAGATACGAATGTAGGAGAATCGGTCAAACTGTAATTGCTTTTGAGAGAAAGCGTTTCACCATACATCAATAACCGCGATATATTCGATTTCAATAACGTTTATGTTATTTCATGTAATTATAAATAAATAAGTAAAAAAGAGATGGTTGGAATATTTGATATGGCCTTAATTAATAAATATAATTTTTATGTGCAACAAAGAAGATACTTAATGAAGATTTTAATAGAATGACAAGTGACAAATCACTAAATAAGAGAAGGCGCACAAGTCTGTAAGCTTTCAAGATATCTTTTATCGTTCCGACAAAGTCCTCCGCTTTTGTCATCGAATCAAGTCGACATCCGGCCCTCGTCCACGGCAATTACGGCATTCCCTACTGTTCCCAACCGAGCAAATTCCGTTTTGCGACCGCGACAGTACTGTTACCCGTGACAATTAAGACGGTACTTTTTCCACTTCGAGCACTTTCACACCTGCAAACTCACGGCTGTATTTTTAACTACACAAACATTATCTTTTGTTGTATTTTTCTTTACTGCTTTAAAACAGTAGAATTATAATAACCCTAAGAAATTTTGTAGAATTTACGTGATACATAACAAAAATGATCTTTATGTGTCAAAAGTCGTAAAGCGAACGTAGTCGGTAAGCAACGTGGAATATATTATTATTAAAAATCGTCCTGCTGAGCTCAGGTGCATGCTCGGAATGCACCTCGAAAGACGACGAGAAGAGATAGTAGTCGTGCAGAAAGCAAAGGACGAGGGCATTTGCGCAGAGACCCCTTACGTAACGCACGTCGTCCGGTCGTTCTCATGTCAAGGTGACGCGGCGAACTTGTCCGAACTTGAACCCGCCGTCGAGTGGTTACTTTCTTACTCGAATATGCAACACTCTTAAACGGTAATTGGTCCCACAATTAAACGTTCAACTGGCTGCTACGTCCAACCCACAACAACGAGTTCCCTAGGAGAAATTACACTTCACAAGTGCACTCTCGTTCACCATTAAATTCTCGTATTAAGTCATTTTATTCGTTATTAACTGCAAATCCAATTTAAGAAATTTGTTTCCACTTTTGAAATTGACGTAAACGGAATCTCCTTTACAAAAGGTGATTCAAAATCTCTCACGACGTTAATCTCGTAATGCCGTATGGTTGAATGGATCTCACGGTTGATTTTAAATCCATACTCAAAGTCTACGAGGGCTATTTGTTATAAAAGCCCGTCGAGAGCTTGTCGTGACGTAGTAAGATATAAACGATGTCGTTTCTTAGATCGACGGAAAATCGCTGATGAATGTGATTAACTATAAGCAGACTCAGTCATTTATCAATTCAACTCAATCTGGAAAATGACAAATAGCCAATGGCATTTTCAAATAAGTACATCATGCTATATTCAAATTAGTTAGGTAAAATGAACCATCGTATTTTATGCTGATGAGGAAGACGAACTTTTTTTTTGCTGTTTATTGTGATAAACTTAATATCTTTCTTGAGCATTGTCTCCTAGAGTATAATATAATTTTCTATAATTCTCACATACACATAATGCGAGTAGAGATAATGCTATTAATTTTAGAGTTTATACTTTAGTTCAGCATATTTGATTCCTTATTTATACAAACTTCCTTCATACGAGCAGGAGAAATTTAAGTATATCACTCAGAAAACATCATCAAGAGCTTATCTTGCTAACTCTATCTAAAAAAAATGGAAACAATCCATCTTTGCAGTGTAACTGAACAAGTGTTGCAACATAGACTTATCGTAGAGCTATGACTTATCTTGGTTAGAGTGACGTTTGAGTGACGAAAGTTTCATTTCACTCCCACAAATTTTCAAGAACGCAACTATTTTTGTGCTATTTTTGTTTCTTCATGTAATACATATTATACCTTAATATCGCTCTAACTCTAACGCAGACTATCGCTCTAACTGTATTTTTATGTGCAAAATACATAAAAATAGTATGACACTCACAACTGTAGCATGACTAATTAAGTTTAGAACAACTAACAGCATTATAGACGTCAACATAAATAGTTAAATTTAAGTTAAGCTACTTGAAAAACCAGAAGAAACCTTGTTCTTTGGGGCATACCATTGCTATCAGATAGTTTTCCCTTCAAAATACCATTTAAACTGTTTTACCTTGTTTTCACCAGGAGCACTTATAGCTCAAGTGCAGTGCTTATTCTGGAAATATTGTTTTAACTTGCTTATTCTGATTCTTTTGTAGCTAGACTTTACATGAAAGTTACATAAAGAGTTGAACGAGTTTAAACTTTGATCGTTACCTTTCTTCAGTTTGCATTTCTTGACTAATCATAACTCGCTTTCATAGTTACATAGAGAATAAGTTCATTGTATATTCTTGTTTCGCTATTTTCTTATGCGGAACAATTCAAAAGAATAGGCAGCTGAGATACCTGCTGTGACAAATTGTTTGACACCTCGTTTTATAAGGTTCAAATCAGCACTAATTGATTCATAAACTGCTTTAACTTAATCAACTGAAATGGAATCTTAGAAAATTGTACATTTAGGTGCTAAATCAATCGAGTTTCTATGATGAGTAGATCATATCGAATCAGGAGGAGCACATTTCAACATAAAGTATATTGAAGAATGGCAGAGAAAAGTTTATCTCAAGCAATGTAAGCTTACTCTTACGTGGTTTTACAAAGTCTTGGCGTTTAT